TACAACACGAGACATCAGACGTGTTGCGAAAATGTGGCTCCCTGGCCGGAATTGGCTGAAGTGGTTATTCAGTTTATTACCATGGGATAACTAACCTAAATGATTGAGAGGTGTCATTTGGCTGATGTCCTTTACATTTACAAGATGACTAGATATCGTTGACAAATATCAGAGACTAAATGACATTCTATTAAGTCTTCAATTTGAATGCCTCATTATTTTGAATATTTATTCAATCCTTCGTTTAAGCTTGCTGAAATATCGTCAATTATCAATTATTTTCCTTACCTTTAAAACAAAGGGTATACTTCATTGCTTTCCCTATGTTATAATTCTCTTACTATTGTTTAATTCTTTGAATTTGGCTCAAGTTGGAATACCAGAAATAATTTGCAATACACCATTTTATATTTTCTACTAAAAACAACACAGCACGGAACTTTTTAACTAATAAAATATGAGCATCACAGGATAGAAAAAAAATGTTTTGAAAAAAACCTTAATTATCATATCGAAAGCGAAAGGATAAGGGCCCTATTTTTCAGCAAGATGGCGGCTTCCTTAGTGATTCTAGATCCGGCCTATGAAACTCATCAATAATATTTATAACTAAGCTAAAAAGATTCGTTAAAAAAAAAACAATTCTGAGCGCGCATTTTGCGTTGAGAGTAGTCCATGAAACCCCAACAATTTTTACACGATCGATTTGTTACACCTGCTCATTTGTATTAATGTAATGATCTTCTGCTTCGTCTTATTTCCGCTTTCTTGATAATCATAAATATTTGTGAAAAATCCGGTCGTTCCCGCCGATCTGACGCTCTTACAAACAAAACATGTCATATTAAATAAGCTCATAACATTTGTAGCAGATTTTTTAATACCTGCAATGTTTAATTGATAACAGGTTTTGTTGATGAAGATAATCCAGTTTAACGGCGTCATATTACTTAATGAAGATAATTCAGTTTAATGGGTCATATTACTTAATGAAGATAATCCAGTTTAACGGGTCATATTACTTAATGAAGATAATCCAGTTTAACGGGTCATATTACTTAATGAAGATATCCAGTTAAACGGGGTCATATTGCTTAATAAAAATAATCCAGTTTAACGGGTCATATTACTTAATGAAGATAATCCAGTTTAACATGGTCATATTACTTAATGAAGATAATCCAGTTTAACATGGTCATTTTACTTAATGATGATAATCCGATGTAACGGGTCATATTACTTAATGAAGATAATCCAGTTAAACGGGGTCATATTAATTAATAAAAATAATCCAGTTTAACGGGTCATATTACTTAATGAAGATAATCCAGTTTAACATGGTCATATTTCTTAATGAAGATAATCTAATTTAACAACCTGTTTTTTGTTGTTGTTTTTTTAACAATTCGGTTGAAATTTAATGAGATGACGATCTCCTAGTTTTTCATATATATCTTTCATGGTCACTATCACTATGGCAATGTCTGAGTCCACCTACAGGTTATAAAGACATGTCCTCATGACTACCACACATTTAACTATCTTATAGACTTGTTCAAATAGTTCTCTTAGCTTTCTTAGTTATAACTATTTAAAATCTAATTGCAAGTTGCAAAATACAACTTTTTCAAGAAATAAATTAATAATAACATAAGAACGATAACAAATTGAGAACACAGTAAATTCTTGTAACAGAAATACGAATCATCTGTTGTTTCGATGTGAAAACCACCCAGTAGTGTCATTGCGTCACATAAAAGTGTCATTGAATTGAGCCACATAAAAGTGCCATTGAACTACATAATAATGTCATTGAGTCACATAATAGTGTCATTGCACCATATGAAAGTGTAATTGAGCCACATAATAGTTCATTGAGCCACATAATAATGTCATTGAGCCACATAATAATGTCATTGAGCCACATAAAAGTGTCACTGAGCTAAACTTTGAGCCACATAATAATGTCATTGAGCCACATAATAATGTCATTGTGCCACATAAAAGTGTCATTGAGCCATAGTATAATGTCATTTAGCCACATAATAATGTCATTGAGCGATAAAAAAGTGTCATTCAACCACATTATAATGTTAATTAGCCACATAAAAATGTCATTGGGCCACACAAGAGTGTCATTGTGGCACATAATAATGTCATTGAGGCACATAAAAGTACCATTGTGGCACATAATAGTTTCATTGAGCCACATAAAAGAGTCACAGAGCTATATAATAGTGTCATTGAGCCACATAAAAATGCCATTGAGCCAAATAATAGTGTGATTGAGCAACATAATTGTGTCATTGAGCCAAATAAAGGTGTCATTGAGCTACATAATTGTGTCATTGAGCCAAATAAAAGTGTCATTGAGCCAAATAATAGGTTCATTGAGCCACATAAGAGCGACATTGAGCCACATAATAGTGTCATTGAGCCACATAATAGTTCAATGAGCCACATAATAATGTAATTGAGCCACATAAAAGTGTCACTGAGCTAAACTTTGAGCCACATAATAATGTCATTGAGCCATATAATAATGTCATTGAGCCACATAATAATGTCATTGAGCCACATACAAGTGTCATTGAGTCACATAATAGTGTAAATTAACCCACAAATAATGTCATTGAGCCACATAATAGTGCCACTGAGCAACATAATCGTGTCATTGAGCATCGTAATAGTGTCATTGAGCCCCATAAAAGTGTCATTGAGCCACATAATATGGTCATTGAGCCACATAATAGTGTCATTTAGCCAAATAAAAGTGTCATTGAGCCACATAAAAGTGTCATTGAGCCACATAATACTGTCATTGAGCAACATAATAGTGTAATTGAGCAACATAATAATAAGTCTCATGATAATATCACTGAGTCACATAAAAAATATCATTGAGCCATAGTATAATGTCATTGAGCCACATAATAATGTCATTTAGCCACATACTAATGTCATTGAACCACATAAAAGTGTCATTGAGCCACAAAATAATGTCACTGAGCCACAAAATAATGTTATTGAGCCATATAATAATGTTACTGAGCCACATAATAAAGTCATTGAGCCACATAATAAAGTCATTGAGCGCCATGATTATATCACTGAGCCACATAATAATGTCATTGAGCCATATAATAATGTTACTGAGCCACATATTAAAGTCATTTAGCCACATAATAAAGTCATTGAGCGCCATGATAATATCACTGAGCCACATAATCATGTCATTGAGCCACATAATAATGTCATTTTGTCACATGATAATATCACTGAGCCAAATGATAATGTCATTGAGCCACATGATAATATCACTGAGCTAAATAACAACGTCATTCAGCCACATAATCATGTCATTGATGAAATAACCAGCAGTCGAACTGCTGGCCTCCAATCTCGGTGACCACGATTACTTTGTACTCGAGCTGATATTAACTTAAACCTTGATGTGTGCCAGGCTCATTTCGGTGACAGCTATTAATAAGAGGAATCGATTATCTGAAAGAGAAATGAGACATTAAGCCATGAAAAAGGCCCCTTAGGGCAGAGATTACATTACAAAACTCTATCGACAGTCGGCACCTGGCAAGAGATTCCTGCAAATTGTCTTTTACATCAAGCCCTAGCGTTAAAAAAGAAACATAGATGAAAAGGAGGTCTTTCTCCGAACAGGTGGGGTAAACGAGGCTGGGCTCTTGTCTAGAAATTTTTCAGCATGGTGTTCTTGGCCGTGGTGACTGATGCTTTTCTTGAAAACGATGAAGGCATTCTTATAAGAAACAGGGCCCAAGGAGGACGTTTCAGGCAAAGACTGCAATCCATTAGGAAAGTCAAAGCTACTGCCATCAGAGACATGACTGCGCCCTAAAAGAGTGCTAACGACTGAAGATGCAAGAAACGCTTAATCGTTTCACTAGTTCCTGCGACAAGTACGGACTCACCATCATTACGATACAGCTTCTCTGGTCACACGCTTCTCCTCTCCGGGCTAAGTCAAAGTGTTCAAACCATTCAAGACAATCTTTCCGATTTGGAGTTTCGATAGACAAGAAATGAAACGGTTGATGAAAGGAAGTATACGAGGACAGGGCGAACATGAATTAATGAGTTATGACTTGGGATATGGCTTAATGAGTTATGAAATGGGATATCACTTAATGAGTTATGACTTGGGATATGGCTTAATGAGTTATGAAATGGGATATCACTTAATGAGTTAAGACTTGGGATATGGCTTAATGAGTTATGATTTGGGATACGGCTTAATGAGTTATGACTTGGGAGATGGCTTAATGAGTTACGACTTGGGATATGGCTTAATGAGTTATGACTTGGGATATGGCTTAATGAGTTATGACTTGGGATATGGCTTAATGAGTTATGACTTGGGATATGGCTTAATGAGTTATGAAATGGGATATCGCTTAATGAGTTATGACACGGGAAATCACACAATAAGTTATCACATGGGATATGACTTAATGAATTAAGACATGGCACATCACAAATGACATAATGAGCTATGAAATGGAATATCACACAATAAGTTATGAAATGGGATATCACACAATGAGCTATGACAGGGGATATAACTTAATGAGTTATATAATGGGGTATGAACTGATGTGCTATGAAATAGGATATGGCAAAATTTGTCATGAAATTGGACGTTACAGTATGAGTTATGAATTAGAATAGAATACAACCTTGTTTATTTTGGAAGGGGATATTACACTGCGTGATCTTAAGTGGGATATAAAATTACTTGAACTGAAACGGGATACTATGTTATGAAATGGGGTACAACATGACGTGTTATGAATAAGATAATAATGTGGTGAAACGAATTTGCATTGTTAGAGTAAAACATTGCTTATAGCTAAAAAGGAAATAAGGATGCATCTCAACGATTGGGACACAATAATTCTGATGGCGTTCAACGACACGAAAGACCGCAAACGATATTCACACACAACATCATAATATTTAGTTCTCACCTTAAATTCTTTCTCAACTTCCGCTAATTTCATCATTTCCTGCCTGAGTTCAAAGGTCGTCATGATAGGGTCTGGGCTGGACAGAGCCATGTAAGCCGGACTCGCCAGGGCGCGGTAAGCGTTCAAGCGCGACCTCGACCTCTTCAACGAGTCGTAGTTCTGTTTGGTCACGCAGTCCTGGCACTTACAAGAAATGGGGTGGGGCTTTTCGATGGTGTGGTTCCTGGACAGGAACATCTGGATAATCTCATGGTTGTTGTAGTGGGCGGCGAGGATCAGCGGCGTGATGTCCGGCGGGAACTGGCTCTTCTCCTCCAGCCGGAAGAACGCGTCCCCGCCGCCCATGCGCTTCAGCTTGTCCTCGCCCGCCATGAAGTTCGGGTGCTCGATGATCAGCTTGACGATCTTCGTGGCGCCCTTGGAGATGGCGTGCAGCAGGGCCTCCTCGATGCAGTTGAAGCTGAGGTTGTCCAGCAGGATCTCGATGACGTCCAGCTTCTCCGAGTCGATGGCCAGGTGCAGGGCGTTCCTACCCATGTAATCCACGCAGTTGACATTCAGCGAGCTTTCCACAGAATCTTCCAGTGACTGGCGCACGATCCCCACATCTCCAAGGTAGGCGGCATTGAGAAACACGCGCTCCTCGTCCGTGAGCTGCCACCGCGTGAACATGAGTGGGGGGGGGGGGGAAAAGAAAAAAAGGGTTAAAAATGGGGTGACAACAATGGAAATTTTGAAAAAATTTAAATTTGGTGACTTAAAAACAAAAACCGCGTGAACATGGGGGGGGGGGGGGGGGAATAGAAATAAAGTGTTAATAATGGCGTGACAACAATTGAAATATTGAAAACATATTAATTTTGTGACTTAAAAAAACAAAACAAGATAGTTTAAATTTTAACAATGAAATCTAAAGTGAATAACGAGGAACATTTGCTTTTAAAAAAGGAATTGTCTTTTCCTTTGTAACCCTGTTAAATGTAAAGTACAAAAAAAAGTTATTAATTCTACTATACATTCACAACATTTGTTTTCAATATGCTATGAGGCTTTACCCACTGATAAAGACAACAAAGGAATATAATTATCAAACCATGTGGATTGTTTTCTTATATCCTAAATATCAAATAATATAATTATATACGGAACGATCTCAAACCAAGATAACCCAAGCGAATTTCTTTTTTTACCTCCCATAATGAAGAATTAAGGGAACACGTTCTGGTCTAGTTAGAAGACTTCATAAATTATAGAACAACTGATTCTCCGCCACTAGAATCTTAGCCGACCAGTGATACACATGTGCAGCCAGTACAGTACGCCTTACGATAGCTCCAGATGTCCCGCTTTTCAATGTTTCAGATATATATTGCTGAACTTAAAGTAACCACTGAAACATGGATCAGGTTATAATTTTATGGTAGAAATCTGTCGATAAGTATGGCTAGAAAATGTGCAAATACTAGAGTTTAAACCACAGGGTTATAAACTGTATGATAGATTAACTGTTACTAGATCTTAAACGCAAGTTAAATACGATTTTTATACTATCAGCTAGTTATCGGACTAGTCTGTCCTGTTTAGGAAAAAATTACAAACTATATTCTATTTTAATTATTTTTTAAAAAAAACGTAAGTTTTTGGAATGAAACTGTCAATACACAAGTTTATGGTGCCAAAATATGTTAGTGAAAGTAGTAGAGAATTTTATCTATAAAATAATGTACTACATTACTAAATACAATGTGCTACACCTATGACAAGAAATGGAAAAACAATAGTTTTTTACTAGCGGCAAACAATTTGAAAAGAATAAAAAAAAAAAACAAGCAACAATACATTGTACAAGTGCCTTATGTCAAGCATGAAGGTATTTATCTTTCCTTAAAATTTTGAAATTAAGAAAAATACATTAGCGAAAAAAATACTCTTGATTAAAGAAAAAACAAACAACTAAATTACTGTCCAATTATAAAGTAAGAGACGAATTTCACGTCTCGGTGCTATTTTTTTAAGAACGGCAAAATTACGTAACAAATAGATTACACGACATCCCCTTGGCAAATGTGTAACACACAGATTACAAGACTTCACCTTGGCAAAATTGTAACAAATAGATTACATGGCATCACCTTGGCAAATGTCCGGCCCATGAGAAACTGAAGCCCATTTTCAAAGTACGGTCCGTTGAGAAATGAGTTGTAGTAGAGAATGGTGCGGTCCTCGGAGTCTTCGAAACTGTCGTCGATGTAATCCTCGGGCTCACTGAACGAACCGATGCGAAACATGGTGCAGCAGAGAACATCTCTTCATCAACATAGCTCCAGAACGTTCGATGAAAGACCCTAATTTAAACAACTCAGTATTTCTCGCAGCCGCTCTTATTGAGGCATGTGTTGTCTCGGACTTTAATAGATACTACACCATAACATATTTCAGACATATAGCTCCGATATGCTGTGGCTGCGAAACAGTAATAACAAATCACCGCTTCCACTGAAAGGTTTAAAATATCCGGAGTATGAGAACCTTCCAAACACTTGATCAGTTCCTTAGTGTCCAATAATCAGAATATATTTTCATTGATTATAATCAATCACATCAAGTTATTTTTATCCGTTTATCACTCTGTTCTTAAGTCTATAACTAGCCCAGCGCAGATGAAAGGCACATGACAAAAATATTCCTCCCACCAAATAGACGATACCAAAAAAAAAACTGGGAGGTGGATTACAGGCTTGGTGCCTGCAATACAAAACACCCTTGTTGGTGTGTAGACGCCATGACATCAGATGGAACAATCGCCCGGCGTGAGGAAATGATTCCTATGACGTAATACAACGCGACTGAGTGGCAAAAAAAAAAAAAAAATGAAAGTAAAAATCCTCGAAGCCATCTGTTTAGTGATAATAACAATTTTCCTGCAGCTCGTTGCATGAGGGACGTGTCCATGGTGATGAAAGTTTACGTAAAACAATGAAAGTGATGAGAGACACGGTATGGTACAACCCAGCTATAGCATCTTACGATGTATGTGGGGGAATGTGGGGGGGGGGTGTGTGTGGAGTTTTGGCTATGGCGGGAAGTAAAATGAAATATTGTCAGATCAAAAGACTATGACTAGTTTGTTGCAGTTTGAATTAAATTAATTTTTATTTCAAATCATTGCTATAAAATTGGTAAAATTGCGAAATTTTTAAACATAAACTAAATTTAGTTTTAGGATTTTATTAGTTTCTTTCGCAGCAATCCAAAAACCTTTGCATTCCAATCGGGGCTTATCCTGACGAAACAAAACAAAATATCTTACAAATATTATATTCTATAAACATTGAATTCATGTTTATATGAAATGTTTTCCGAGAGCTCCTAATATAATACAAGTGTATTTACCAGTAGGCATATTTTAGAATTATTTATATTTACAACTGTACAAATTATTTCACATTACCCAAATATTTTACCAGTGTGCATCTTATCGCGTCAACTACAAGAAAGAACGAAACACCATAAGGGTTAATATCATATCCCGGGCATCAGGTCCCATTCTCCTTTTGAACTTTCTGTCCTAACATACACACTTGGTTACCATGATCACAGTTTGTAACTAGTAAAACAAAAAAAAGCACTAATTATGTATCTCGGTAGGCGCCCCCCCCTCTCCATACTACGCGCAAAGCTGAACGACAAACACATTAAGCTTAATAATCTGGCCATCGAGTAATATTATTACTGGTCAGAACTGACAAGTCGACTGGTTAGAACTTAGGCCCACAATTTCGGTTAAATTAGTATTTGTCAGAATTTACTGTATGGCCGAATTATTATTGCTGGATCTAAACAAATTGGCCAAATCATTTATTGATAACAACTAAAACTTAGGATTGCTTACTTAATATTATTAAAAAATACAAGTTGAACGAATAAGTTATGCGGGACTTACAAGTTGAACCAATAAATTAAGTCAGAACTTACAAGTTGAACGAATACATTTTGCTAGAATTTGCAAGTTGAACGAATAAATTATGCTTGAATTTACAAGTTTAACGAATAAATTGCGTCGGGACTTACAAGTTAAAATAATAAATTACGTCAGAACTTAAAAGTTGAAAGAATAACTAAGGTTAGAAATTAAAAGTTGAATGAATAGATTACGTCAGAACTTACAAGTTGAATTAATAAATTACGTCATACTTACAAGTTGAAAGAATAAATTACGTCAGAACTTACAAGTTAAACGAATAACTTAAGAAGGAATTACGAATAACTTTAGAAGGAACTTGCAAATATACCAATATTTTTACTTAACTCTTAAATTATTTCGTTTTTTTTTTCTATCCTTATTCATTTCATAAAATGAACACAAAAATAGGGCACGAGTCACCTCAATAACCAATAATCGATATTAAAAGAACACTAGATTATTGGTTAATTTGTATCAAAATAGCATCTCTGTCCAAGCGGAATTACAACATCACGACACACAAAAGCGCTAACTTTAAGGACATGTCTAGAATTAAGAATAGATAACTCCGCACAGAAAGTTAGCCTGTAACGATTTGTAAGCTCCCTTCACTACTAGCAAAGTGCCCCTGTATTGATTAGGTCAGTCGGTTATTTCCGTCGAGAAATATAAATGTACACTAGACCTCCCACGATGACGTCAATAATGGATGATACTTACTCCTCAAAATATACAGACAAGTGATGTGTTTATAGAGCACATCACATCTAAATGACGGCCACAGTTTAAAATTAGCGTCACATGATACCTAATTTAAAAAAAAAAACAACAACAACACCGTTCGTACACAACAACCCAATGTCAAGGAACGAGATATCGCGGCTAATGCACATCGTCAACACTTTAACAAGCGATCAATGCGGCATCGATACATCAAGCAAAAACAGATTATGAAATGTTGGGTGCATTCTATCACAGAGTTGATGTGATCTTGTGCTTCGGGGGGAGATCCCTAGGACGTGATATCATTGAGTGCAGCGAGTCCTCGCGACGTCCACAAACACCAGGTACATCCGGTGCGAGGGTGCCACATATTATGAGTCCAGGAACAAGAACTTGGTCATCAGATCGTGTGAGAGATGTATGCGTAAGGCTCGAGTTATTGAATCTCCTTAACAAAAAGTACCATCACATTTAATGTTTCCAACAATAAAACAAATTATGTTAGGTTACGGTAAATACATTTGACAGATGTTATCTCTCTAATTTAATGGATACCGAGAAATCTGAAATGAAGTCACATCTTAGTCTCTAAGAAACTTTACTGAATACTTGTTTTGACTATTAAGTTAGAGATCGACCCAGTGTAATTTTATGGTCACGGTCTAAACTGAAACCAATTCGAAAGTTAAAAGAGACTTTCGGTCGAAACGAAAAGGTAAATGAGACATTCGGCCGACACCGGAACCGAAAGATTTGTACATATTATTTAAAATAGCCCAACACAAGATTGAAAACTATGTCGTGAGACAAAAGATGCAATAAAATAATGCAACATTGTTAACAATACTTTAATTATTAGTAATTAATCCACATTTCGTTGAAGATGACAACATTAATCAGCATGATAATGAGAACTCAAGATGAATGTCACGACGGAATAATTTGAATAAACCTAGGGCTTCCAAATTTAATTTAAAAAAAAGAA